GGCAAGTCATTTGATTGAAAGACCTTTGCTGAAGACCAAAATCGTCCTTCTGTCAAGGTGTGTGCGTGTGGCACGATGCAAACCCTGACACATACAACCAGCAATACTCCTGTGTTATACCCGCCTTTGTGTGCTATCATCAAACAGATCGCTTATTTGCCACAGGATGGAAAGCGAACACTGCTGTCACCACTGAAGCCTTCCTTTGCTCTCTTTAACATACATTTTACCCCCACCCTAACACCATCATTAACTCTGTCCTAGTCGGTCCATTGGTTGGGGCGGGCGCACCATTTTTCCTGCATTGGTTTTGCGAGCGATGTCAGGCATTTCAAAATCAAATTTCAAGCTTTGACTCGCGGTATATCTGACTGCGTTCAGCGTTCACTTTTTGAGGCGATCAGTGAAACAAGGTGCTCTTTCTATCACACTGGACTTGCTTGACACTGATGTGTGCCGTGTATAAGAAAAAAGGATTCAAGACGCATGCAGAGGTGGGCAGGATTAGCGCATCTGAAGTGCAACTAGGTGATTGACATCGACCTAGCACTGTGACCCCGAAAAATTGAAAACTATTTATTGAGTCCTGTGCAGACCTGAGGCTGTTTTCTGCAGTAGTATTTTCCGAAATAACCAACACTACAGCTATATTATGTCCTTTAAAGGAGTGTCAACACCAAAATCTACTGGGACCCATCTGTACCAGTTGCCAATAGAGAGGGTCGAAAACTGACCACCGCTCGTTTTGTGGGTCCCGACTGAGCGCTTGTCCGGGTTTGCTTCTTTTTTCATCTTCCTGGGTTGCAGATGGTGCACACAAATAGCCTTGCAACAGACAGACCGGCCAATCCAGATGTTAAACGAACTTGCCAGAATCGCCTGCTGAAATCTCGTCCAATGGCTCCACCTTGATCTCTTTTGCTACTGCAAAGCCTTCATATATTGAACACGGGCATAAGATTGTGCTCTCTTTCCGCATATTTTTGGTCATTTATACGCATAACCAAGTATACTTACCATTTAACCAAAGTCGTATGTCAGCCACCTAATAAATCTGAATGCAGCTGTCAGTCTTGACGACCGAAACTCCTCAGTTATTCATTCACCTTTTGTGCCTGCTGCTTCTTTCAACTTTTGGGCCTTGAGTGATCTGAAGTCACAGTTTGACCTAACCTTGTGAGCACGTTCGTTTTTGTGGGAATTCAAGCACTGTAGCAGATACCGGAATCAATAACTGATAATAACGGTAGTCTTCCATTTTTAGTGGGTTATGTTTGAGTGTTAGCGACGTGCGTCGCCTTGCTTAGGATTTCTTCCTTTCTTAATGCGAAATACTTGTCGTGGGATTCTACCTCAGGAAAATTACTGTCACACATGTCGCATAACCTACCAGTTACCAATTTCACCGTTCAAGCAAACCTGCCGCCATATCACCACAATTAGGGGATCAAACGATCGTCAAAACCAATCGCCTTTGACTTTTCGTAGCAACTCGTAACTAATGAACATACTTGACAACAGATATCAGCTTGAAATCAGCCACTCCAATTCCGACCTTAATGATGTGGAGCATCGTAAACCCAGCTGACTGATGGCCTCGTGAGAAATGCCTCAAAAATAATGCGACAACCTTGGGGGTCGCACTTACTGGGGGAAACTCTGACGATGAAACGTAATATTGGACAGGTTCTATCTAGCCTAACTACTTGCACTCAAATTAGCCTTGGGAAAGTTAATATTTACAGCTGGTCAGTGCCTGCTCCTTACGCTGTCAGGGCAACGGTGAAACAAAAACCTATCTCTCCGACCCTGAAGGAGATTCGAAAACGAGAATTCATGGGAAATTTGGCTTCCTAGCGTGGCAATGGTGAGAACAGTTTTGATGGCACAATTCATGCACCGGAAACGTAACTCTTAGGACGTTCCAAGTTTTTTAAACGAACTTATTTAGCTCTACGTGAGCCACATATTCGTTTAGGTAAACATGACTAAAAATATGAGTTCCAAAATGACTGCTGTTCAGTCTCAGGAGTTGGTGAAAGCACACTTGTCAGGCAACTTGTTCTTAGCAGGTCTTGGTCGCAGAATTTTCTGAGGAATCAGGAACGTTAAAGTTATTGGGAGTTAACTCACTTGTAACAATGGTCAAAAGTGATGGAAGTGGAAGGGATGTAAGTTTGCCTTGCGAATAGTTGAGTACGAGAGTCCTATAAGCGGTCTTTTAAGACAGCTGAGTTAATTATAGGAGCACCGCGGATGGGTTCAGACATAAACTGTGAAATACTTATATGTCTGATGATTATATGAGGAACCGAAAGTTGTACTGGGTGAAAGTCGAGAAGAAAGACAAAACAAAGGGCATACGGATTTCATTTGATCAAGAATACGTAGAAAACACCGGGGATGTTTTGTTTATATCAAGTGAAGATTCATGACTGCATACGGTTGCATTGTTGATGGAGTACATTTCTTCAGCGGACATGGTCGCTAGCTCACACATCACTCACTTTTTTCCAGGGCAAAATAATTTTTATTTCCTGCATTTGTTGGTAGTAACAAATGAGAATAGGCGAAAATTTACTGCAAAGAATCTATCAAAAATCCTACTCCACCTAGGAAAACGGGAATCTTTTTGGCCCAATATATTTGACCTGCTAAGTCTTCAACATTTTATGACCACTTTGGCTCCATTTTATGCGCCATTTATGTTCACTTTGTAATGGGACACAAGGTTACTGTGACATAGGAAAGAACCAGCCAAGCCGCCTTATAAAATCATGCACGTTATGTGACAACTGTCAAACTTCTGGGGCACTGCCAAATACAGTAAACGATTGTTGCACCTATTGAATAACTCACGTAGACCTCGAGCAAACCATTCATTGTGAAAACATTGCGTACGTTAGAAAATGTAACATAATATGCGCGCCTTAAAGCACTATATTCACTGACCTTCTTATTCACCATCCAGGCTGAACACCACAATATAAAGAGAGAGTGTGCAGAAGGGCGAACGTAAGACACCTTGGTAGCTATTTTGGGCAACCACTTGATTGCCTTCTATACCTATAAAAACCAGCAGTGGCTTCTGTATCTTTTGTTTTCGTAAACTAGCTGCACTTTTTTTAGATACTTATCTGCCACCACAAAATGCATAATGAATAGCAAAGTCAACTAAATAAAACTCAAATAAAAATGAAGATAAATTTTTGTGAAACGTTGGTTGATATTTACAAGAAAAGATACACACCACATTAATGAACAGCTTATAATGGTGTTATTTAGTAAGGCATCAAATCAACGGACACGTGTAAAGCACACAATGAGTGTCCGTGCAAGCTTCCTTATTAATTGGGGTCATTTTGGTTACGGCTGGACGGACCGGCGTTAAAATGAAAAGGGGTACCTAGAACGTGGAGACTGATGCACTGCAAGACTTTAAAGCATCAGACGCCTCAAAATCGGCTGTTTCAAGTTAACTTCTGTGTATGTTGAACAATTTTCAGTAGAGCTGAACTGCCCCAGATAACCTCAAACAGTTTTTTAATTTTATCGGCATGCCGAAGAAAGGCGCATTTCAGTTTTACTATAGTGCTGATAAGCCTGATGCGGCGTATATTAATCAGCGACCAGAACTAATTAAAATGTATTCACTTCCGTTAGTTTTAACTCGTTTGTGAAATTCACTTTTAGAGAAATGACCTAGTGAGTGGATCAAAAGGGTCTTGTACCAGCATCATTATTGAAGACATGATCTCAGTGCACTTGGTGTCTACGCGCAGATAGTGGTTGTGTGTGTCAGCATGAACTTATGTAGCTGTGTCAAAGTATATGTATAAATGATTATATGTAAATTATATGTAAAATTATATGTAAAAACCACCGCTTTCGAGTGCATTCGACACCAATAATGAAGCGTTTCATAGTCGCCCTGCTACTAGCCATTTGGTAATCTTTCCAAGAAAGATAAGCCGGCTCCAACAATATCTTGGATCGCTGTCCTTGGAACACGATCAGAATTACGGCTTGAACACTATCCATTTTCTGTTTCACCATCTCAGTCTAAATGCCACCTGCATTTTGCTTCTCGTACTTCCCATAGTTTGGCAGCCATGCAATAAATGGACGTTTTGTTTCAGTTGCATCATTTACTTGGTGTGAATTTTTACGGGTTTGCAAAATCCGCTACCAAATCTTAGAATTTTTATTTGTGGGAAGGTTTTTGAATAATGTTTTTTTTCGACTCAAATGTATATTTAAATTAAACTGGGTGAAACCAAGTGAAGTGACCGACATTCTGTGTAACCATTATCTTTCTCGTAGTCTGGTGCGGAAAATTGCGTTGGGTATTTTTATATTTTTAATTAGGTGGACTAGAGGCAGTAATCATCATCGAGTTTCATCCTCGACTTTTGGGCTTATCCTGTCCGTTGGCGTTTCAACTTAGTATTACCTAAACCCCAAATGAAACACTTAAAGATTGTACTGACTGCTATTTATACGGATTAGGGGTGGAATTAACAAAACCGTTAACATCCAGATTTGATGGACGGGAAATGATAGGAACTGGTAGATGTTCGCTTACCCCCACAGTGCTTTATCGGAGATTTAGTGGGATGCTTTCCATATTCAAAGAAACTGTTTGCTCGCTTGAATCTTGGGCGTGCCTATTTAATCTAAACATACGTGGTTTGTAGAAGTCTTACGTTAAGGCATTTTGTAGGTGAAGTTGCTCAAAATTGTGGTAGAAAGTAAAAATGCCATCAAAATACCAGTCTGTCCATTGATTTGCTATTAAAAATCGTCATCTGTGTTGTCATTGCGGGAGTAAGCCAGCCTCAGTCGCAGCTGACTGGTGATGCACAATAGAACGGAGAAGCTGATTTATTTAGAAATCTGGGAAAGTGATGCTCAGGCGATGTGCTTATGACGTGAGAGAAGCAGCAAATAGGCCTACATATGTTAGTATTATGATCATACAGTCATCGCGAATTGTCCATAAGTGACTAATGGTTTCCGCCATTTGCAAAGGACGTAACCGACGCAAAAAAATGTTAGAAGGCCAGTTAAAACTTACTATGTTTTACCTGTTATTCTATTTGATACTAACCAAGTAAATTGATGGCTGCAACCTTCTCACCATTCAGCGTAAACTTTCTGTTACCAAAAAAATGTATCGCTCACGAATGCCGTATACAAGATGGCATGCTAAAGCGGAACTCCTTAAAGAACAGCTGCAACAAGCTATGCGTGAGCGTTACAGTCACTTGAGGAAAGAAGAATCTAGCTTGGATGTCTCTGTGGGCACAGAAAATGATAAAAGTTCCGGAATGCCAACAAGGGATTTGGCCAGCAGGATAAGGCCTACAAGCGAGGATCGACAGGACGATTCCTCGAGTACTAGTCAGAAGATAGTCATTAAAGCAATTCGACAACAGCAGAAAGAATGCCAACGGGAGAATAAACGACTTGGCTTTGGAACACAGTGCGAGCGTTTCAAGAAACAAGTGAAAGAACAAGTGAGTCTGCGTCCTCTGTCCTCTATATTGTTCTCCATGGTTACTCATCAGTCTGTTATTGATATGACAGGATTTGAGAATATCTTTGTTTAGCTTTCTCCTTTTGAGAGAAGACAATCTGTGCTAAAAAACAAAAGATGTACTGCACACATATTTCGTTCTTATCGGGAATCATCATTATTGCGTGTCTTTTGTGGGAAACGTGAACCCACAATCAAACCATTCGACCACAAGCAGCTGATTGACAATGTAAGAAGCTCCCATTCAGACAGGATGTAGTGTCACTCATCATTCATTCAAGCAGTTTACATCACCTTGCTTTCCGCCACAGATTCGCTTCACCTACATGACTGAAGTATTTGTTCTGTTCCCAATTCATTTCTTTAGTTTACTTATTACACTGCGTCTCCAAAGGAAATGTTTCTCGTCTGGACTTAGGCCAAGAAACTGTCCCAGGCTTATTGTAATAAAACTATGCACCTAACTGATATTTCAAGTGAGCTCCAAAGCTAAGAACACTGATGAAAACCGAAAAGTGTAAATCGCACTGAAAATGAAAGTTCCTCATTTCGGATGCTTCGAACGGGCTTATACGTTCCAATGATGACGCTTTTGACCTTTTTGGACACTTGAAAAAAGCTGCGATAAAACTTGTCTCCACTGTCAGTTGATACTCAGTCTATCAAGGTAAATGTCGTGAACTTCTTTGAAATGGTGAGTGTTCATTGTCTCAACAATCCCCGTCATTATTGGTGGCGCCCAATCCGTATTGGACATCGGCGCTTCATTACGGCACATCCTAAATAGAGGCGTATGGTTGTCTGGCCGAACATCAGGACCACATTTTCTTCTTTGGAGAGCGTGGGGTGCAGACCATCCGGGTCAGGTGACTTTTCACGTTGAAGTATTGATATCTAACGCTGGATTTCGGTGGTGTATTATTGTTGATGTTCCATTCGGGCCCGCTTGATTCTTCCGACGGTTGTGTTGAAGAAGACCAGCTGACCTGTCCTTTGAAGTGTCCAGCCAACCGCCCAAGACGACCACTGAGGGAGTGAGTTGCCCTTCCGTCTTCTTCGCATATTGTTTCGTTCACACTTGTCTTTTTGACAGGTTGATTGAGCCAGCTAAAACAGCTAAAACAGCTAAACAGCTAAAACCAGCTAAAACGCTTATGTTTCCTGCAGCAAAAGTCTCTGATACTCTTGGGCCTTCAGAATCCAGTATTCTCTGTCATTCTTCAAGCTCCAAATTATCGGGTGTCTGACGGATCATTATGTGCGATCATAGTCGCTTGTTGCTGTTATGGCCTTTCTGGCAGCAACAGGATATGCTGATCTCGAGGGTATCCAGTGTTCATTGAGTTTAGTAAGATTAACTGAACAAAGAGTTCCGAAAGCTCACAGCATTGCTTCTTTACTTCATTTCCTTTCAATCGCCAGGCAATCTTTGTCTTCCATATGACTGTGTCAGATTAGCTCGATACCCTTCAGCTACCGAAACTTGTCGAAGTTGATGAACGGAATTGCTCTCGCATAGGGCTTGCGGAAAGCAAAGTGCTGAGCGGGCCGGCACAATGGCGTGATTAGAGTGAAGTTGCGTACGCCAGACGCAACGACAATTCTTAACTGAGGCCCTCCATCGGCAACTGATAGCAACACGGTCCACTTGAGCCCATGACTGTCTTGCGGCTGGTGACTTTCAGGTGACTCTATGTGAGCGTTTGTGTTGGAAGTTCGTACCGGCCAAAAACAGACGGTGATCTGCACACAACTGAATTTGTTGCTTCCTATTATACCTACGCTAAGCATCGACTCCAAATCTACTGATGTCTATCAGGGCGTGTGCCGATACGATAAATAAACACCAATCACACAATCGATTTGCATTGATCCTAACTGAACCAGACTATTGCACAGCGCAAATACGGTTGTTTACTGGGTCCCAGTCCGGTAAAGCGCCTCCAGCCTTGGGGCTGAGTGCACATTCCACGCCGTAGACACTACGAGCCATTGCACCAAGGCCACCAGATATTCGAACAGTGAAATGTGGGACACCTGTGCTCGTCTTAATCGGTTTGAAGTACACGATCGAAGTGGTCTCCTGCCTGTGCGTTCCAAAGGCATAACATATGTTGACAAAGATGAAAACAAGGTCTCAGCAAGGGATTCTTGTTGCTCAATTTGATGTAGAGTACGGACATTATTGGCTGACATGTGGATCAGATCCTTTGAGGTAAGTCAGTATTTTGATGTATTTTCTGCGCAATAGTTTAGAGATGGAAAATAGGCTGCGAGACTGGCAGATATATTGACCATACTGCATCCTTTGATGGGTGGGGAGGGGATGTAGTGAAAGGCCGGTGAGCGAACAGCTGCAAAACCGAATGATACTTCTCTGTTGCCCAAGCCGAGGAATGGAGTGGTTGAGGTACCCGACTTTGAACATTTAACTCAAAAGTCTGACCCACAAGGTAGTGGGAGAATATAGAATTTTGCTTGGGAACCTTACTCCTATTCTCTGCCCAAAAGTCTGACCCGTGAGACAGCGGTTGTTAGGGTTTTTTTGTGGGACCCTTACAGGAGCCAATGACTCGATAGTCTGACCCACTTGGCTGTAGGAAGCCGGGGTGACCCAAGGACACAGAGAGAAAAATATTGCTATCTCACTTCTAATGCATCTGCGTAGAGCTCGTGCACTTGAGCATCACTGAACTCCTTGGTTTTCTAAGTATTTTGACCGTAGTGGACAATACACTAGCGGCCGCGGTCAGCCGCTGGGCAATCGCAGTGCGCGCATTTTAAGGCCAAACTTTTCTAACCCGTCTTTTCTACGGTGAAAGCATCATCACCGCTTCCATGAAAATGGACATGTTGGGAGGGACGCCTCACTGCCTTTACACTCCTATCGCACAGGACAACACCACTTCACCTCCATTGTGACTCGTAATACGAATACTTCCAACAAGGAGACTCACTGTTCTCTATCGGACTGCTTCCCGTTGGCCTTCCTCGACTAGCTCAAAGTTTAGGAACTAAGCTACAGCCATTATATCCCACACAAAAGCCCTAGCATTGCAACATTGTGACAGCTTTAGGTCGAGACCAAGCAATTTTGTCGACAATGACAACAGAACTTCTTGCAGTTTGTCTGGAATAAGATTACTGGAAAGAGTTCTGTTGGATGATGAGAGAAGGTTAGCAAATGACCATGAAATATCATCTACTGTTTTTTCTCTTGATTATCAATCAATCTGAAATCATCCAAACACTGACCATGGGAGTACATGGAACAGTTCCACTCTACAATGCAATAACTTTCAGTTCAATTCAACATATACTCAGTGCAGATGGTTTTTATCTTTTTGCTGACAGGCTCCACCACCGGGAACGTACACCGTTAAACTTCTCAGCTTGAATATTGCACATAAGAGTGAATTGCGACAAGAGGAACCATTTACCAAGGCTTCCAAAGTCACCCGATTGGCACATAAACAGGTTATTCGTTGAGTTGTTTTCGTTTTACCTTACTTTATTTTCTTTTCTGGTGGCTTTATCCCCCAGAGATTTGAAGTGCTGCGGCTTCAACTTGGATTCAAAAAGTGCAAATCGGTGTATTTTAAGCCACCTGTACGGAACTCTTTCATCATCAATCCACTTTGTCCTTAAACACATGAATTATACACACTTATGTACGCTAAGCTGTTGGTAACAAAAAGTTTGCCTGTAGAAATTTCCACAAATCCATGGGAGCAGTGATGGCCGAAATTCCCTCAAAGCATCTATTGCGCTGAGGTTACGTTGAAGACAAAGTACTCCAGAACAACCAATATCGCTGCATTTTTGACACAAAGAGCAGAACAGTGCGAAAAGATACTAGGTGACGGATATGCGTGAATACGAGTACTATTCACAGGAGGTTTGCATACATCAGGACAGTCAACTGCACACTAAGCAAGTGAATATGAATGTACCACGCTGACATGGGAAGACTTGAGGAAGAAGGATATCAAAGCTATTGCTTTTTGGTTCACAGACCTGACTCGGACCGACACGTCAAAATTGACTCAGTCACGTCAGAACTGTCGCCTTGTTTTGACTCGTCTAGTATCTGGAGTGCAGATACTTGATTCTTCTGGTTTCCGCCTTTCAATCAAGCCGCTATATTCTTATGTTGTTATCAAGGACAGATACTCAGGCTTCTCATTGTTCTGAAAAGAGTGTGCTGAGCTCAACACACACAACATTCACAATACAGAAGGTCTGAAGGGCATGCGAAAAACAAGCTTTTTTGTTATCGTAGGAACAGGGGTTGGTTCTCTAATGATTAGTGGGTTTTCAGCCAGAAACATGTCATCAACAAGCATGAGAATTGTGAACATCCGTCCATCCAAGTGAGCTGTAGATTGACCACCATCCTAGCAACTTTGATGGCCGCCGAAGGAAATAATCATCCTATGGGAGCTGACTATGGAACTATGGCATTTGGTGTTGCTCAAATACCATCCATGATTTCGCACGTAATTATCGAAGTCGCGGTTAATGACATGAAGGAGATCAAACGAATGCGTTTGACTAGTCCATTTATTTGTGGATTTAGTGATTTCTTGTCAGCCACATACTGTTTTGAAGTAAAACTACAAGCCAAACAGTGCACACCTTGCCCTACAGACCAAAAAACTTCAGCTTCGTGACCCTGACCCTGATCATCTCCGTTTGTACATTTTGTTGTCTATGTGTGGCGATATTTCAGAATCAACTCAGGAAGAAACATTGTTTGTTTCCTCAGTCAATGGAAGACAACCTACAAAAATTCTTAGTTCATTGGAAACAAAGTGTTGTTTTTAATTTCCGTCCTGAGAAGCCAAATACACCTGAACTCAATCCAGGAAACGTTTCTTATGGAAGGTGAACGCTCTCTTGAGCCACAGAAGGCTCAGCACCAGTGTGTATCGTCCGCTCTCAGCGCTGCAGTATAATACTTGACCATCTTTCACTCAACATAACATTATAGTATTACGAAGTTTCAAGGACCAGTACGGTTCGCAAAAAGGACGGCCGATTGCTTGATAGCGCTAGCTGTAGGGTGGTGCAACGCGACTGTGAACCTAGTCGAGTAATTTTTTCCAGCATAACCCATGATTTTTTGTAGTCTTGCGTAGGAAGTCTTATCCCCTGTTTCTGAAGTTATGTGACAGCTATCTTAGCACATGTCTTGTTAGCGGGTATGTAGGTGCTGTGGTGCTTGATGATCCTTAATGATTTTGAAATCGATTTGCGAACAGTCAGTCATGTAATTTTTGACTGTCAAGAATATCGTCGGTTAGGCACAAGTGTGTGTGATTTGATAGCAGGGAAGTATTAGAGTGGAGGAGTTTCCAAAGTATGCAGAGCAACTTCATGTTTGGATGGCCATTGTTATGAGTCTGAAATTTGAAGCTTGAATAAGCGTTAGGTTTAGGGGGGAATTTAGGAAGCTATAGACATGACGTTGAAGAATCTTCAGAAGTCGAAAGAGATGGGACACATTGGCTGGAGATTTAAAATTTGTGGATGAACTGAGCGAATTATGGGCAGGATTATATGCACCAGGAGAAAATTGAAATCCCAGGTCCGTCAGTTCTTGTACACAGAATACGCTTCTTCCGATATGATGAGAACATATTTTTTCAAACCACCTTAGGAGAGATATTAGTCTTTCATCGCGTTCCCCACTGACTCTGTGAAAGCATCAGAAGGTCAACACAGTAATTCTGCTAGCATTTTCTGCGTTCATCCGACTACAAAGGGAAACTGTGCAAAATGTAAGGCAGTATACCTTGTAGTTTCCCCCATAATAACCGAACGAGAAAAAACGAGTGACATGAGAAACTTCAAGAAACGGAAAATAGGTAGCCGGCTCAAAAATGGGATAGTTGGATGAATACTGAAAACTAAAAATCATTTGACCAAGAAACGTGTAAATTGGTTATATAGGGTCCTGTATTATTTATCGGACAACCATCTTAATAGATTAAACTGTAAAGTTATATGCTCTGATAAATATCTTCTGCAGTGTAAACTTTCGTTTAGAATGAGCGGTTTTCTGTGGTGGTTTTTTCTACTTCATCCAACGCTCCCTTCCACCTCTTTGGGGGCTGATGAACAAATTTTTACTTCTGTACTTTGCTTAACGTACGCACTCATCTGTGTTTAGAACTCATCTCTTGGCCCAGGCGTATATGAACCACACCGTTTTCTGGATCGCAGCACGGTGGTTGAAAGCAAAGGGAGATTTGATACGAGCAATGAAGTTCGATGCGGTAGAATCAAATACGGGTGTCTAAGTACATTAGTAAGTCAGTGTGTACGCATTCACCTAGTTAGTAGTTTGCCCCCTTTTGACCTTTCTTAAATACCACTTATTCACATCTCTTCGTTTCCGTTCTAAGGATTAAAGCAATTAGACTGGCGCAAACACGCACAATAACGGTTGGCTCTGCCCATTTCGAACACCTCGAGGAATGAATTATCTCTGATCGATATAGATCTGGAAGATAGGGAGAATTTTCAGCACCAAATTTCTTTGGTGGTTTTCCGAAATCCTTGATTACGCCACCAAGGCAGCTAGTGACTGATGACGTCAAAATATATTATGCGGTCCTACCTACTCGATGATTACGCTAGATAGTGAGACCGACAGTTTGTCTTGTGATCTCACCTAGTAGAATAAATCCCACAATATGTTACCCAATGTCCTAGGTCCTTGTGTTTGCCTGATACCTATAATTTAATCTTAATTAAGTTTTCGAAGGCGTCAGAGCCTGTAAGCCTTGCTGGGGTACAATTGTCATTCCAGAGTGGTTGCAGTGCAGACCGACAACGGTGATTTCCTTCAGTTTTTTAATCACTCAGCTCTTGGAGTTTTTGTTTGGGTTCAGGATAACAGATAAAACAGAAAAGATAAAATTTGAAAATCACAAGGAATGCTCATAAACACCGCAGTAAGAGGGTGCCCAAGTTGAATGTCAGTGAAGTAGAAAAATATTGTACAAAAAACTAATAATGGTAGTAGCGAGCCACAAAACCAAAGGGCAATTGAGAATAAACAGCCTTGACTCTTGAATATCTTTCGGTTTCAGTTATGGGCGGTTGTCAATTTGTCGAAATGTAGGTAGCTAGGGTGTGTTTACTGATGGTTGATCGGATGGCAGTTGATCTGTTCGCCGAGCTTGGCAATTGGCTTGCAAGCGTTTCGTACGCAGTCGAGGAGACATCGTCAGTACACATTCAACTGTGCACAGATCAACCACCAGTTGTGGACCGTTCTTAGACCAAGCGAATTCACGAGCTTAAACCGAGTCTCAAATTGTAAGCTTCGGAAGGACGAATTTAATTGTTACCCCAGAGCTGTGTGTGATTCATTGGCCATGTGGTACAAGCTGTAGGTAATATCGAAACACCCATTTCCAGCCAGCGAGTGTTCGTTCGCACCTTCAGTAACGAACTCATGGCTATTCTACTAACCGACGGACTCTAATGGAAAGTCACCAGTCGCGTTGACATCGCTTCTATTTATTGATTGTGCTGCTGAACTTTAACAAATTTTGGATGCAGTACAAAGGATGGTCCAGGTGCAAAATTTTTGTGTTCTTAGAAGAGTCGGTGAGCAAATAGTCTGTGGTGGTTTAACGTTGCTTTTCAGCCTGAAAGCTTTATAAACAGCGCCATTCAGTCCTGTTAAAGAAGACGTGTACATTTAATTTTGCGCGCTAATGGCTACACTAGCGGTGTGCAACACACTGTCAATTTCAGTAGGATTTTTCGCTATAGGATCCAGGATAACCCCGTTAGCGAAGAAGCAGGTACTGAAGGAATCGCGGTAGCGAATTAAAGGTACCACCTCACATTTGTAATACACAGATGATAAGCGGCTTCTTGAAACGACGCGTCCATAAAGCTAGTGTCACTTTGAAGTATCTCGCAGATTAATATATGTAAGTAAAGCGATGCCTTAGAGTTATACATTCCGTTGATGCTGCTAGTGTAACGGTGGATGCTACTGATTAGGCATGCGAGTAGCATGTTTTATCGTAAATCCGCTTCGCGGCTCTTGAAAAGTGAGATCTGTTACGGAATTCAAAGAGTCACTTTGTAACATTTGCTTGCATTTGAGCGACAGTCGATGATTATTCGGGAAAGTTCAGAGAGATACATTTAAGGAGATGATGGGTAATCCGTTTTTGTAAACAAGATCTCTATGAGAGTTTTGCTTCCCTGTCCAATAGTCCGTAACTGTTCAGCTGGTGTTCTCTAGAACTCCATCTAAACTCTTGGAACAAATACGAATATGTTACTCGATCTCCGTCCTTAGGCCGTTGAGGGTGGTCTAAATGGAACCAGACGACAAATTTATTGACATTAGTGACATATAGTTCGACGAGAGGACGTCAATAATTTGGCTAAAGAAGACACTAGTTTGTTTCAAGGCATACTGTGAATTTGAATGAGCGTAAGTAGTACAGCTTCCGATGAGTATCTTTCAGTCAGCTGGCCGCCATTAACAATTATATGCTTCAGAGGATACGTAAAGAGTCACTTGTAACATTTGCTTGCATTTGAGCGACAGTCGATGATTATTCGGGAAAGTTCAGAGAGATACATTTAAGGAGATGATGGGTAATCCGTTTTTGTAAACAAGATCTCTATGAGAGTTTTGCTTCCCTGTCCAATAGTCTGTAACTGTTCAGCTGGTGTTCTCTAGAACTCCATCTAAACTCTTGGAACAAATACGAATATGTTACTCGATCTCCGTCCTTAGGCCGTTGAGGGTGGTCTAAATGGAACCAGACGACAAATTTATTGACATTAGTGACATATAGTTCGACGAGAGGACGTCAATAATTTGGCTAAAGAAGACACTAGTTTGTTTCAAGGCATACTGTGAATTTGAATGAGCGTAAGTAGTACAGCTTCCGATGAGTATCTTTCAGTCAGCTGGCCGCCATTAACAATTATATGCTTCAGAGGATACGTGTTGTGTTCATCAGTCTAGGGATAGCTCCTCTATTTAAACATATGGTTATAATTTTAACCGATGTGAAACAGGGTTATGCAACTGGCAGGACTTGTAAATATACATACAACTATCAAAATTTGCAAGTAAGTAAACTTTAAGTGTACAATTACCTGGTGCGCGCTCCAATCCAATTTCCATGAACCGGATGGCCGCATCTTTCTTACTTCTAGCTACCTCCGCAAAATGGGCCACGATTTACGGACTTTCCAACATCAGTCGACTTGCTAGAAACGCGGGATTACAAGAAAAAGGGAAAGTTCTCCCTAGTTGAACGCTTTCCACGTAAAAAGAAGGTAAGCTGAAAGCTGTCGTAAATTTTCAGATACTTTTGGATGGCGCTCACCAATAATTTCACACACGGACACTTTTAGCTTATTAATCATTCCATGTTATTGTTATGCTTTAATAGTGAGCAGTGAAAAACCTGCGTCTGTGAACCAAATAGCAAAAAACCATCAGCCAGTCGCAATGTACGATGAGCTCTACTTCACTTTCCACTTTTGGACCAATTTATTTTTGTACATGTTCACTCACCACCACCCTCCACCGACTGCTTTTTTCACAGTCTGTTGGTAAGAATGCATTCAAAGAGGATCCGACTCACTGCTGTTTGAAAATAGATTCACTCTCGGATTAAACCTCTTTCCGTAGGATGGTTTTATTACAATGCGGATCCTCGGGTAAACAGTCCATTCTTACCCTGCCAATTTCTCCCTGCCGGACCTCATCCATATGATGGACAAAATTGCCCCACAGTAAACTTGCATGCGTGATATAAATCTTTTATGTTAACCGTTGTGCCACTATTGCAGGGATTAGTGCATTTATGTACACATTTTTTTAATCGTCCCGCTAGTAAACTGTTCGAAAGATCCCATAAAATAAAGTAACTAGATCATTTGTATAGTGAAAGTGTTTCTGGGAGATCACATTCTGTGAAGAAGGTTGACCAAATTATGCCGAACAAACCGTCAAAAAAGACAAACAGAAATGATCGGGGTGAATTCATCTACCTACCAGAGCTATCTGCTTTGAAATATATCTTCAGTAGTTGGAAGGCTGAAAAGTTTTTAGAGACTCATTTTTCCTGGAAGTACGTGGACATTGTCTCCAAGGCACAACTGTATTAGTATGCAACGAAATTACTCCCGCCTCCTGATAACCCACCCTAGGAGACTTTGCTCACTGAAAAACCCAGAGTTGCACCGTTTTATTTCTTCTTGACATCCGTAGGAACGGGATGGCGAAGCGTTCTCTGGATGCCCACGTTTCGTGCTTCTTGTCAGTCGCAACAATTAAATCAAGTAGCTTCCATTATAACAGCTTTAATTTCTAGAATATTAAAGTTGCTAACTGAGCTTAACTTTACGCCTGTTATGGCTAAGGCAAACCATTAGCGCTCCATAAGTTAGCACCTCCCTACTTTGAGCAGCAATCAATCAACCGCATCCCCGCCACTTCGTAGACGAACAGAACACGTACTGTATGAGTTCATCATTATATACATGGTTACCCAGGCCAAACAAATAATGTGGCTGATATCGAATTTTCGAATTAGGCCAATATGACTCCGGTTTATCGATTATTAAATAAGATAACTAAAAAATAGTTGCAGAAAACAGCATTCTCCAGCTTTATCCAACTGAACAACTGAAAGAAATTTAGCGTAGCGCTTGAATGTGATGAAGAAGTGCTCGCACTAAGACCTAAATTGATCGCCGAAAAATTCTGGGAAGTGTATCTTTGGGGTTTCAATTACCATCTTGCTCCTCATTATATCTGCTTACATCTGCTTACGGCTGCAGTAAACTTCCAAATTCTGATGTGCTTTCTACTTTTCGTCCAACCAATGTTTTTTCCACGTATCAGGGACTACGTATAGGCCCTACCAAGTACGATCCGCGCAACCCATACGAGAACCCCATCAGTTTCAATGTGAAGCAGGTTCCTTTCTTGAAAACTGCCGAACGAATGACCAAGAAGCAGTACCAAGCATTTATTGGGAATGTGGTAAGTTTTCTACTCTTTGGATAATTTGAAGATTATGTCAAAAACCTAATGTAATCGTATCCAGCATCTGGAAGAGCTATACTTCCTCCAGCAACCAACAATGGTCAACGGCGACTTACTGTCCCTGGGTATTTCTTTAAAAACGCGATGACCGAGTCTCTAAATATGACATTCTGATTTAGGAGGTGGATGGCGAACACGAAGCAGTATCTTTAAGCCACTTGGCTACTAAAGGCAACGACATGACATCCGATCCTTCCCACGCAGAACTGGAACTAGTGAAACAAGATTAGCCTGAACCAAAACCATCACTCTACCATGATTATTCAGAAATTTTAACGATGTTTCGTCATTCCATCCTAGTATAGACCGCTAAAATCAATAGGACGTTCTTATACAACAACAGCGCACCCACTCATATAATCTGCGTGAATGAACCCACGCAACTACCACAACTTCCTTCTTTTTGCAAACTGTCGTTCGCAGCGAAAGCACATAGTTATTCAATGAATGTCATGACTGTGTAAACTATAGTTTCCATATGTCATTAAATAGTAATTTTCACTCTACATTTTCAACTCATGTGCTAACCGTATTGGACGATGAAAGCGTCCCTGGCAATCCTCTATTCTGTCTTTCTTCTAATCTTGACCCCGAACCCCTCAACTCTCGCAACAGTCACGTTACAAAAATATTCATAGGAAATTACCCTGATTAGGGACATGCGTTTTTATGGGAGTTCATCGCAAAGTAATGTTACTTTGGTGCTAATAGCACGGTACCCCACAATTTGTAAATACTGCTTGAGTTTTCCATGTGGTGCACAAGCTGATATGCGGCTAACACAATCCAAATGCAAACTGGAATAGGTCGTGCTGATACCGAAGCCATCCTGATGCAATGCTTTCCTCTCTCAGGGCGCTCTGTCAAGACTCAGTTTGAATGAGTTCGTATAGCACAGCACTGCCTACAGGAACTTATCTGATATTTTTATCGTATGTTTTGTGCCACGGTTCACTCTTATTCAATCCTTTTGTACCTCATATCTACTTTCCTCAAAAGACCCCGTTTACGGGACCAGGTCGGTACAGTATTTCAAAAGAAGACAAAAATCCACTTGCTGGTCCATTGTTTGCAAGGGAACCCATTGAAAAAATCCGCTGTGCAGAACGCATGCATCTTTTGGAGTAAGTTTTGAAATTACGAATATGATTATATTATCCATTTTATTCTATTACTTTTGTCCTGTTTTATGATCAAAACATCCATTTATGTAAAAATAAACTGCCATTTTTATATGACGTTATTTCATCTGGAGGTCCAAATGAATCGCTCGTTTATATTAGTCTTTAGATGGGCGTGCTGCACACAGACCTCAGGTTTTGTGTGGAAAAATGTAAGCAGCTGATTCCAGCTGGGCCTTCCGTTAAACAGAAAATTGGCATTTGTTTTCACATACTTCATATTTGTGTCCAGGTTTAAAATCGGATGGATATTTAGGGAGTAGACACACCGGATGAGCTCCAGCCACTGGTTGGATCACCGAGAACTTACATCAACCTAATGAGGGTTGATATATTAGGTTTGGCAAAACCATGCTTCTCTATAAAAATACAAATAAAATACACACATAAGCAGTCTTGGCTTTAGACGTATTCTACTTCCGGCCGATATGGTCTTTACAGCAGCCATGCGGGTAGCAAAAATAAGATTAGCAGCATTGAGGCGCTTGCTTAAAACTGAATCCTCCTTTATCTTTTTGTTTACAAAAGGTTTGCACAGTGCTCGGCTAATAGTTTTTAAATAGCGGAGCCTATGGAGCAAGGGTTCTCAACCGGTAATGGTCACTCACCCGAAAATCTCAAGACCGATAGTGAGAACTGTAATTTCAAGGGCTTCAGCGTTAGAACTACCGATAATCAGTTGGTTACCTTGTGTGGTGCCTATCATTTTATTTTTCATCACCATTCGCCACAGTTTCATCTGAGGAACATCCAAAACAAGATTGCAATTAACAAAATTCCCACCAAAATTACTGTTTTCAACGGTCCTGCTCCTGTAACCACTTATAACGCCACTAAATTTTCCTAGGTAACACTGATGTGTTTGCATGCCTCAAACATTCGAAACCTTCTACTGCACAAGAATGTCGGTACAGTGTCCATAGTGGTTTCCTGATGAACTGCCCCCCCCCCCCTAGTCAGATAAATATGAAGGACGTGCGAATTGGGTGTGAAGGCTGGAACGACTGTTTGAGTCTGACTAGTATTTAAAACATACTACTGGCACACTAACAGTAGAAAAAAAATAGTTTCCAGCTCCGTAGCGGAAAACTGAGAAGCGCCAGCGAGGAAATAGAATAAGTGAACCATGAGACGAAAAAATGAATATCCACAACCAGTTTCTTGGACGGATTTCGATGCTGAATTTGTTAGCTGCAACATAATATTTAAAAGGCGTAGCATCTTGAGCCTCTAATTCTCCATGTCATCACCTAAGAAGGAGATTAAAGATTAGCGAAATACATTCGTTTGCAGAAAATTTGGTTTCACTAGAGACTCACCTGAAACGCAGCCGAATATTTCGTTCATGACGTTTCTAAGCAACTGAATGTGCTGCATGAGAGATTTGGCTAGGTTCCAGGTGGGTCTCTCGCAAACCAAATTTATTTGCACATGAGTGTATTTAGCTAAATTCGTACGGTTTGGGTTCAAATAGAACATAAGTTTAAGGGAAAATTGGGTACTGCGCCTACCTGATGAGCCATAAGAAGGGCCAAACCAGTCGTGGGCTATCAAAAACCTCCAGCGACCTCATGAGGTAGAGAGTATTTAATGAAGTACTTACCACGGCTACACGGTTTCTTTTGGAGTTTCATTGTGGGCTACTGCAGAGGGCCACTCTCCAGATGAGTATTACATTCGCATGTGTTCTTCAGCACAGAGTAATTAACTACGTAATTCCAACATAACGCCTTTGTATAAATCACGTGAAGTTTATTAGAACACCATAAAGCCTCATGCCAAATGCCCTTTAGTCTGGTGGGAGTCCATAGCCGAAAACAGTGAACTTCGCCTACAAACTGGGCCGAAAAACTGGCTTAAATGGAGTGATTCCACTCATACCAACCAGTAAAACTTCTAACCTTTCAACTACTTTTTGAATATAATAACTATTCACTCAGTTATTTAGTATAATATGAGAAGTAAGTTTCGTACGTATATCGGTATAACCAGACGAACTAGAAATCCAGAATTCAGCGAAGCGTAACAACCAGCACGTATGTATTCGAATTGGCGAATATGTACAGCATATGGAATATTAAAACAAGAGAATAATGAATGGAGCAATGAATAGAGTATCAGTCATGTTCATCACATCCGCCACACTTTGAATGAGCGTGTGGACGTTTATAGTCCAGTGGTGATCTTGGCCACCATCTTTCGGATCTTCTCGGGATGGAAACTCCAGACTCTTCACAGGTTTGTGTTCTTCAGATACGTTTTGTTCAGATACCATAAGATCATCTACAAGGGATTCATTAGTATTTGAAACAGCAGGAGTGCCGTAAATAGACTGATCTTTGGTATTAAACTCAACTTGGTCAATGTGTCTCCGGTGACAAGATAGGTCATCCAAATCTAGAATTGTGACCATCCGTTTGCAATTCGATGGAAGCACTATTCCTGTAGCAGGTCGTATTCGATGGATATTCCTGTAGCAGGTCGTAAATCATTACCCTTGAAAAATGTAACATCAGCCGTTTTGGCACAGTCAAGACTTGTACGCAACGCAAGAGATTTAAATAGAAGCGCGGGACTCTTCCCAGTAACGGGATAGACGGCGTTCCTGTATTGCATTAGAAAATTATCAATCCCACGGTCCTATTCCACGAAGTAGTAAGAGGGAGTGAAATAATGGCAGACTTTAGTGTTCGGACAAAATTTTCAGCAAGTCCATTTGACTGGGGATGTCGCGAAGCAGTAAACAGATGTCGACATCCAAGACCCTTCAAC